GCCCCACAGCCAGACAATATGCAGAGGAGAGACCTTAGAACACTCAGCCATAAGTGGATGTCTCCATCAATTCCCTCCCCTCAGGGCTTAGGGAACCATTAGCAAGTGGAGACAGAAAGACTGTGAGAACCAGAGGGGCTGGAGGACACCAAGGAAGCCGGGCCTTCTAAACACAGCAGGACAGAAACACCTATGAACTCACAGAGACTGAGGCAGCACACACAGATGGGGTCTGGAACTGAAAGGAGAGTGGACACATGACCCCATCCCTAACCCAGAAGCTACCTCCCACTGATAATCACTTGCAAATGAACATTTCATTTTCTTCAAGGGAGTTTCACTGGGGAAACAAACTACTCTTAAAGGTAGGCTGCATGCCCCCAGTAGATGCCAACAGAAAGTAAACTCAATAGCAACTTCAGATGCTCAATAGCATCTCATGATGTCACACCAGGGCTTTTCCTGACAGGGTTTCTCTGTGTAGTCCTGGATGTCCTGGACCTTAACTCTGTAGACCAGGCTGGCCTCAACTCACAGAGATCCACCTGCCTCTGCCTCCTGAGTATTGGGGTTAAAGGTGTGTGCCACCACTGGATCTCTCCCTCCCTCCCTCTCTCTTCCTCCTACATGTCTTTGTGCAGCATATGGCATAGCTTCCTGTTTTGTGTTTTTATGAGATTCCTGAGTATTCAAGCAAGTGGGTCTCCGTGTCTTTATGTGTTTCTTGTGCCTTTTCTTGGGCTCTTTCCCTTCTGTTTGTTTTGTCCTATTCTGTCTGATGTGTTTATTTTTTGTTTTATCTACCACATCTATCATATTATATTTCCTCAGAAGCCTGTTTGTTTTCTAAGAGAGATGAAAAGGGCATGGATCTGTATGGGGGTTGTGGGAAGGAACTGGGATGAAGGGTTATATAAAAAAAATCCATTTTCAATAAAAAAACCCTCACATAATACACATGTATAAGACTTTAAACTAATAAAAGAGAAAAAATGATTTAAAAGAAAAGATCTTTGGCCAGCTATAGCCATGGTGAGTGAGGTAAAGTTCATTCTAAAGGGCTTCCATGGGAAAGGAACTTGTCACTGTCTCTATAGAGAATGACTTAGAAAAATGAAATCATTTCACAACTGGGCCAACTTTCACTTAGGCACACACTGAAGAAAATAGAGATTCTGGCAGTAAGCCAAAGCTTGGGTAGGTGTATGAAGCAAATGGTAAGCAAAGGACTCAAAGAAGTTATGAGGGATATGAGGCTGAAGCTGATGGCCTAACTTCAAGAGCCCTGGATGCCACTGTGAGTGAGAAGTTGTGCAAGCTGTTGGTTTCCAGACAGGGACGCCCTCTAACAAAGAGAGGCTCTGGCATGTGCAGATCTGTCATTGCTCACTCTGAAGGGCATTCACCAGCCTTGCCAACACAGGAAACAGGTAGATATCGAAGAGCCTTGTGCCGGCCACAAGCATCGAAGGAGCACTTGGAAGCAGCATTTGGGCCAAATTTAGAATGCAATTTTGATTCCTGCTCTCTGTACACCACATCTCCTTCAGCAGGACAGGGAGAGACATGTGTCTGTTTACAGAACAGAGTCCTAGGCAATACATGCCGCTTCTCAGGAGGAGGAGGAGGGCCTGCTCACTGAACATGGTGGGTGATTAGCCAGGGACCCTCCTACAGGCAGGTTAGCAGCTTGATTCTACCACAGCATACTGACTGCTATGGCTTTGGAAATCTGCAGCTTTGGAAATCCATGAAGGACGACCTTAATCTGCCTTTCTCTAATCAGTGACCCTTCCCTGCTAACCTTCATCCATTCCTAGGAAGGGTTTGCCTTCCTCTGTGGTGGCCACCTCACCACTGACCACACTGTAATACTGTTCATTATGTTTCTGAAGTCGCAAGTCTCAAATTAGTTTCAGTCAGACCCAGTCAGTGTTTAAATTCAATGTGTGCACTGTCTTAATTACAGACACACTCTGCTTTGATGGCTTTAGGAAATGACTGCCTTGCCAAACCACACCTATATTTGGTAAGGGAGACGGCTGGCTTCTCCAGAACAGCTCCATCTCCTTCCCTCTTGACATCTGCTTAGTGTTGGGTAAAAGTCTAATGTTGGCCCTTGTTCCCCTGTCCAGAAAGCACATGATCGGTAAGTTTCCATCTCATGAGCCAGAGTGCACAGGGGTCTAAGATGAAGAATGGCCCTCCTGTGCCTGGATGCTATGTGAAGGAACTAACTCCCCTTCAGACTGCTTCAACAACAGCAAAGCCTACTCCATCTTTCCAATGGTCAATCATCTGGAGTGGTCCTTGACTTTTCTTTCTTAAACCCTATCCACACCATTAGTATGCTCTGTCAATCTTACAAGCGAGATGCGTCCTAGATTAAATGACATCAGTTCCACAATCATGATCACAGAGGCACACAACAGCGAGAATCTTTGCAGCCTGTGGCCAGTGCTGCTGAACCCCCACTGCCTGCTGGTCTTTGAACCCAATGCAGGTAAACTGTTCTCCTGGTCTGTGACTCTCACCCAACCCATATGGGCTAGTTCTTTCCCTTTCTTCCTGCCAAGGCTTTTTTTGTTTTGTTTTTTGGTTTTTTTTCCCCCTAAACATCTTTTCCTGCCCTTTTTCTGTAGAAAAGCTCCTATAGTTTTCCTGTGACAATCACTTGACTTAGCATCATGTGATACATTGTGAATTTATTGATTATTTGTTCCTTGGAAGAATAGAGGCTCTAGGGGAGGGCCTGTGCTTTGCTCACTACAGTGCCCAGACCGTAAGTACCATCCTTAAAGAATGAATGCCTGAGATATATAAATAAGTGAAGACACCAAAGTCAAATGCTGGATTTTTAGTTAACAGAAAACCAATTCTTTCTATGTGAAAATGTAAAATCCTCAATGAATTAGACAATATGCTGGACTGCAGCAAAGACCTGTGAAGGAGTATAGAGGAATGTGTGACAGAGTGGGTTGCTTTGGGATCGCTGTGTGGATTGATTCCTCTCTGTGGGACCCGGGGGCTTACCTTCGGAGCACACTGGAAGTGCATTCCCGGCACAGGTAGCGTAGTGACATACATAGTTATGCAGCGATACAGGTATAAAGTTCCGATGATAAAGAAGAATCTGCGACCCACTATGGACCTAAAGGGAACACAGAAATGGGGAGAAACAGGTTTACCAGTTGTCTGTCTTATTATTAATTTATTTTACTGGGGTGGGGGAGAGGGCAGGGTCTCACTCTAGTCCAAGCTACTGTGGACCATACTATATAACCAAGTCTTGCCTCAAACTCATGATCTTCTCGCCTCAGCCTCTGAGAGCCAGGGTTACAGGTGCAAGCTACCATCCTTGTCTCCCTGTATTTCTAATGCAAAGTAAATCAATGTTTAATTGACTAACAATAATACAAACAATGGAATTAAACAAATAAAACCCAATTTCACAGAATGTTAAGGCTTCTGCGCTGCCCGTCCCATAATTCCATAGTGAGACTGATTCCATCTCCATAAAGAAAGATTTAGACACTGAAGTATGTTTAAGTGATTTGGGGCCTGAAGGACTAAGAATGTGGGGTCAGGGGAAACTTAAGAATATGAAGAGTCTATGTAGTCTCCTTTCCTGAAAAAATGTCTTGCTTTGCCAGGGAATTCAATAAGTGTCTCTGTTTTCAGTCAACTTGCTGATTAAGAAAACCCTCCAGAGAACACATCAGAGGTGCAAGTGAGCCGTGGCCATAGAGGAATAATCTAATGGATCAGGTGACATCACATAATTGGATACACAGGGAAATGTGACAACTCATTAAACCCTAGTTATGTAAGCAAGATTTTTAATTGGGACCATCCAGAGATACTCTGACAATTTAGGCATGAATTGTTTTCTCTGACTGGATAGGTTTTCGGTGAGTTTTATTCTGAACATGTCCAAAGTAACTACTGGATTGATTCGCTATTATCTTATTCACAATTGATTTTTAAATGGCAAAAGAAAATAAAAAGGAGTACAAGGGTTAGAATTGTTTGCCTTTTTCTGAACAGGGTTGCACTATCATTTATTGAAGCATTAGTAAAGCATTATTTATGACAACCACAAAATGGAAACAGCCTACGTGGCCACCAGCCAATGAACAGATAAAGAAGAGGCCATGTGTATGTACAATATCATACTATTCAGACATAAGAAAAGGAGTTCAATCCTGTCATTTGTGACAACGTGGACGGAACTACAGACCATATTTAGTAAGCCAGGCATAGAAAGTGGAGCACAGAATTATTTCACCCCTATGCCAAACTGAAAAAAAGTTGGTCTCAGAGGAGTTGAGCACAGACTAGAGTTTAGCAGAGATGCAGGTGACTCTGTGTATTTGGGAGGGGTTATGTGGGAAAGCTGATCAATGTGTACTAAATTACAGTTAGGAATAAGATGTGCTGAGATATTCCATAGAGCAAGATGCTACTGTTAACAATGTACTCTGCATTTCAAAAATAAGTTAGAAGGACTTGAGATACTTTGCCATAAAGGAGTGTAAGTAGGCTGGAGAAACAGCTCAGTGGCTAAGGGTACTGGCTGTTCTTACTGCGAACACAGGTTCGATTCCCAGCACCCACATGGCAGCTCATAACTGTCTGTAACCCAGAGGACGCAGGTTCGATTCCCAGCACCCACATGGCAGCTCATAACTGTCTGTAACCCCAGTTCCAGAGGATTCAATGGTCTTTGTGTGTCCCAGCTTGCACATGATGCCTAGACATACATGCATGTAAAACACCCATATCCATAAAATCAAGTAAAATTTAAAAATATTTTTAATGAAAGTGTTTAAAGAGAAGCATGCTTGACTTGAATGTCACATAGTACACACTTACATGAATTTATACATAATACCTCGTTATGGAATCCAGTTTTGTAAGTGTTTATGTACCAGTGAAAAATTAAAAGGCCTGGGGATGTGGTTTAGGTGTTAGAACATTTGCTGTGCACACAAAGTCCTCGATTCGCTTTCTAATACTGCATAAACCAACACCTTGCATCTGGGAGACAGCAGCAGGGGGATCAATAGTTTAAGGTCAACACTCACTACATAATGAACTTAAGGCCAGTCTCTATCTCAAAAGTTAAAATAAAGCATAATAAAATTAAATGGGAAAAGAGATGGATCAAGAAATAAAGGCAAAACAGGGTCTTGAAACAGTGTCTTGACTGTGGCTCTGAGCTCTTCCGAAGTCTTCAGCCTAAGCCTGTTGTTCTAGAAGCTGACTGAGCTCACCAACCTCCAAACCTCAGGACTTTGCCCATTGCATGGCTGCCTTGTGGGCACCAGCATGGGTATAAAGGGCCTGGGGGCTCTAGGTCAGTTCCAGCTCATGGTGACAGCCCTTCTTCTGTTATATCTGTAAGTGGTGGCTTTGAACATGGCAATGAATGGGGACACACTGCCCACCTCCAGTTGCTCCTTTTAACTTCTCTAGAACATACAGTGTATTCATTCCACTGGGTTTCTCATCCTCACAGCTCTCAAGCTTTCCAAACCATCACTGACCAAAAGACTCTAGAATAACAGGCAGCCTCAGAGATGAGGAATATTTTAAGTTTTCTCCAAGACACTGGTTCTTACAGAGACCAAGGTCAAATTCGGGTAGTTTTGGGACTTCTAATTTAAAATATAAATATCTATTTTAGTTGTCTGCCACCAATAGCTATTTCAAGAACATTTTAGTGTTTCAGGTGAGGGAAAATGAAAGAAGTAGACTTACTGCAATCTTGGGAACCTAGCTTTGTTGTCTTAGTACTGAAAAGGAACAGTCAGTCAACAGTGCTGGCTGTTTTCCTTTGGTTAAATGAAAGCAATTCACTCTGTGATTCAACCCCAATACCCCCCCCACCACCACCAAGGAGTGCTGATCTGAATTGTGCTTCATGCTATTAGACAACAACAAGAAATAAGGAAATATTATTATGAGTCAATTACATTCATTCCATCGTTCTGTGCCCAGAATAGAGGATTCACTTAGATGAAACACTCACTCTACATCTTACTTAGAAAAAAGAACTGCTCATCGTGTGTTTTCCCTCTGAATTTTTGAAAGAAAAAGAGACAGGGAAGTTGGCTTCATGGTAAAGGGTTTGCCTGGCATGTGTGAGGTCCTAGGTACCAGCACCAAGAAAAGAGAGAGAGAGAGAGAGAGAGAGAGAGAGAGAGAGAGAGAGAGAGAGAGACACAGAGAGAGACAGAGAGAGAAAGGAAGGAAGGAAGGAGGGAAGGAAGGAAGGATGGAAAGAAGGAAGGAAGGAAGAAAATAAAAAAAGGACATACGGAGAGAGGCTGGGACAGGCAGGATTTCTTACTTGGCTAGGGCATTAAAAAGGCTATCAGAATTATTCCACAAGTTACCAAAATCCAAGGTCCAAATCTACTTCAAAAATGAAATGGCAAATTAGTGTTGTTTGTGACCTTAACAGTGGGTATAAAGTACATGGTCTAGGTATGTGACCCTTAGTGGGTTTTTTTTTCAATATTTCTTTTTAATTAGCATGTAGTAATTGGACATGATTCATAGTAGACAGTGTGAAATTTCAAAGCAGGAACATTGCTTTCTATATTTTTCTTTGTGGGCTGGGGATTGAACCCAGGGCTCATGCACGTGAGTCAAGGAGATGTACTGAACAACATCCCCAGCCCATGCCCATGAGTTTTGACATGGTTACAACAGCGAGAGCTCATATAAACCAAGGCGAAAGCTCAGGTGCAGGACAGAATCCAGTGCCACACTTGACTAAATATCTCTTCACACAAATGTGAGTATGAATAGCCTTTACATACAAATTGAAGGAGAAAGGGACCATCCGTAGTCTATGCAAGCCCTATGATGTTTAGTGTCAATTCCAGGCACTGAAAAGAAAACTAATGGTCAATAACTATAGCCTTGCTTTTAGCATGAAGACTGCCATAACTGATACAGCAGCAGTTCATTTCTACTAAGTGAAAGGCAATTGGTAGCTCTGCCTTTTATCTAAAAATATGGAAGACTTTTGAGAGTCACAATAAGGAGCCTGCATATGGGCAGCTTCAGTTTGCCACACATGTTTTGAAAACTGCTGGGTTGCATTTGGGAAAGTCTTTGAGAAAAGCAGGTTGAACTCTTCTTCTAATTACAAAGCAACGGTCAACTTGATTCTCTCTTCTAAAAGAGACCTGTGGCACTGACACTGAACTCTTATTTGACTTTGGATTTTGAAGCTGTAATGAGGGAGTTCCCATGCTTCACATTTTTTTAAAACCCTAGATTGTGGGTATTTTGTTCAAACTTATATTTTAGGGACTTAATTCATGGGATCCAGTAGAAAGCAAACACCTAAATGACACACTAGAGGGCAGAGGAATTGAGTGGCCTCCAATTCTGTGTACAGAGAAGCAGAGATGAGCACGTCAGAGCAATGTCCAGTTTTTAACATGTCTACGAGGTGAGAAGCCTCGCTTACCACTTCCTGGTTGGTACAGTTCTGATGTGGAGTGAGGAATGCAGGGGCTGAACTACCGAGCCATGTTCTCCTTCGCAGAGCCAAGAGGAAGGCAGGAGGACAGGTTTACTTTAGAAATCTAAAACCCAAACCTCCAAACCTAGTTCCAAACTCAGCTTCTTAAACAAACACTGGTTACTTTGTTCAGGAAAAGGACAAGAAAGGAAAGAGAGCTTAAGAACTTTTGAACAGAGGAAAAAAAACAAACAAACTTTTGAACAGATGTAAAGTCAAAGCAAGCTGTTGACGGCAGACCAATCATCCCATAATGAAAGTGTCCTGGCCTACTTCCTACTGCACCTGCAGAGAACCTAAAAACAGTAGTCCTTTCCTAGCATCCTGGCTGTCCTGAGCTCTCTTCATAGACCAGGTTGGCCTCAACCTCCTGAAATATGCTTTTGCCTTTGCCTCCTGAGTGAGATTAAAGCATTTCCAATCATCTTGATTTAGGGTAGGAATATGACACCACATCACTGGAAACCAGACTCTTTACTGTAAATTGATAAACCAGTCCACCCTCCACAAGGCTACTGCAACTTTCTACTTTCACATGTGCTCACTCGATGAACACTTATGGGATTGTTGCTGAAGTGATTCAATTACGTCTATCTACAATTTTGTTCCTCAAATGGCTAGGTAAACCTAAAGGCATTAGAAGAATCTGAGAAAGACAATTTTAGTAACACATTTTTTCAAAAAACAAAAACAAAAACAAAACAAAAAAGGACCCAAACCCAAAAGTTATTAGTCAATACTTACTTGTATCTCAGAAAAAGCCACTGGGTGATCCATAACCCAACTAATACAATCCCATTTATTTCTGATACAGAAAATGCCCATTTGACCCGGTCGACGTAATCAAAAAATTTGTCTGGGAGTGGAGGGCTGAGCTCCTTGGGAGGGACCCTCTCGTGCACAACTGTGATCATGACAGTTGTCAGGACAAGGTTGAAGAGAGCATACACAAAGGCAATGCCCGTTTTCCACCACTCCAGGGGAAACTTGTTCCTGGAGTCAGTGGGCATAGAAATCTGGATGTAGTCCGGGTACTTTTTGGCACCCTTTCGTAGCCCGTTGGATAAGCTCTTGGGTTTCCCATTGCCATTTTTGTTTCCTTCTTCTACAGTGTCAGCAGGGCCTGTGTAAGTGTTGGTAGAATCGTTGGTCTGATTTTCCAAATGACCTTCAAGTTTTGCTGTCTCTATGATATCCATTGTCTGTCAGCCTTCAGAACTAAAGGAGATGGCAAGGTTCTTGTTCTCCGTGGAAACTTAACTCTCTTAAATCTTTCTGCTTCCAAGATCAACATGGACTCTTAGAATTGATTGTGTGTGCTGATAGGAAATGTAGACGGTGGTGGCCTCCCATACAGCAATCTGCTATGTATTCACACAAGGAAGCCGATTCTCTTTCCCACAGACGATGTTATTGTCCCTCCTGAGAACAAAAGAAAATGAGGTGAGCAATGGCTTGTCTAATTACCAACCACTTGAAATGTAAACACTCTCAAAAGTAAGGAAACGAATACCGAAATGCCTGCTCTACCAAGACATCATCAGACGCTGAGATTGGATTTATTTTTTATTCAGTGCTGGATCGTTTAATCTTGGGACTCTTGTGTCTCCTTGAACTGATGTGAGCACAGATAAGAACATCTTAACAATCAATTCCCTGTTAATTTCTCCCAATAAAGCCAGGACCTAACATTTCAAACACTCACAAGTTGCTAACCATGAAGTCATAATATGCTAGAACCTGCCCGGAGACACCACTCCTTCCTGATAAGGAAGGATGAAAAAGAGATTGGATCTTTTTTAAGAAAAAGGGTCAAATAGTGGGACATGGTGGCTCACACTAATGACAGCATTCAAGAGGCTGACGCAGGAGGACTACTGTGACTTTGAAGTCACCCTGGGCATACAGTAAGTTTCAGGTTAGCCCGAGTTGAAGTGTGAAACCCTGTTTCAAAACAATAAAATAAAATGTAAAGGATTTGGAAACTCCGGGAAACCGCTGAATTGTTATGTCTGCATTTTCCACAACAGATCGGTTTCTGACTTTCCTATTAAAAACCTATGATCCCTTAGTGATTACTTTTATGAACATCTGCAAAGCAGCACATTCAACATTTAAAACAATGATGCTTCAGTTTATCTTTTCATATCTAGAGACACACAACACATACAAAGCCAACAACTTTCAAAGCAACAGAGCGGGAAGATGTACAAAACCTTTGCTATGTCTCATTTGGGAAAAGGGTAGAAGCAGCCACAGGGAAACTTCCTAAAACTGCCACAGGAAACTGATAACATTTTGATACAATCACAATTTCTACCAAGCAACAGAAACTGGCATTCAGCGGTCCCCCTTGGGACACTTACCAACTGTGGCTGAGGAAAGGCGCCTCTGGCCGAAAGTGCCACAAGCTCCACGGAGCAGAGAGTCCTTACCAGAGAGAAGCCGTGACTCTTATACTAACTTGCACTATGGCCCAGCTGTTCCCAATTTAGGAAAGCAGCATTTCAGTCAGGCCACCAGCCCAGCCACCTGAGGGGTTCCAGAACCCTGTAATTAGTCCCCACCCTGAGTACACTGCCCAACTTTAGCACAGTTCTTCCAAATTTAAAGGCCTCCTTTCAGGGTAAATATGGTTAAATTCAATGTAGTGACAGCTAAGCCTTTAATGGATGTAAGTGGTTCAGCTAGTACATCCAGGTATTTCCTTGACACTATGGTGGCAAACAGATCACTACAAGAGTTTACTGTATACTTACTATCTCAGCACTGAAGAATGCAGGGGCAGATTAAAGGGTTTGGTTTTGCTTTAAAGACAACACAACACCGGAACTAAGGAGATGGTTCAGCAGGTGAAATGCCTACTGTGCAAGCATAAGATTTGAGTCCCAAGCACCAGCTTAAAAAAACCAGGAAAGGTGGAGCATGCCAGTAACTCCAGTGCACAGGTGGGAGTGGGCGTGGCAGTTGGAAACCTGTGAATCCTTTGGGCTGGATGGCCAGCCAGCCAGTCTAAGCTGCATTAGTGAGATGTAGATTGACAGCCCGGTCTCAAAACATAAGGTGCAGAATATCTAAGGAAGACATCTGATGTTGACCTTTGGCCTACACACATGCGTGAACACACACAAACATAGCCAAAAGCAACTAGTTTAGCTGAAGAGCTAGAGCCACAACAAGGCTGTGGGAGACAAGGAAATATTCAGATTGTGAAAGGAAGGCCTGAGATGAGCTGGGCTCGAGATAAAAATTAGATTTATTTGTTACATGTCCCTCTCCCCTGGCATCCATTTGCCGACAAAGCCCACCCTTGAGATAGAAAAGGCATGGGAGATGTTGACCTGGCAGAAAAAAACAGGACCCTCAGACAATGAGTGGCCATGAGGGTTCATCCACTTCCAACAGCTCACCTTCCTCTTGTCCATTTGAAAAATCTCTCAGCTACTGAGGCGTTAGAGAGGGAGGAAAAGCCAGTGCTCCTCCAACTTGACCAATGTTCTCTGCAGTGCCTGTGGAAATGCCACAGGAAGAACACGTGTCTCGAAGAGGAGCCTCAGCAAGTTGACTCCAACAGCAACTCTCTCCACCGTGGACACCTCCTTCTGAGGAAGATACCCAGTGCCCCCAGCAGCGGTGGCTTGTTTCTACCCACTCCAGCCTAGTTGGCTAACATATTCAACATTCCACATGTGCTCTTATGGTGTTCATACATACGAGAAGCCATAAGTGGACATACAGGTAGCCTTTGTAAGGTTGTCATCTAGTTCTAGAACATAGAATGTGGAGAAGAAACTCCAGCCACTCTTTTCTCCCCAGAGGAAGAACTCCGGCACCTACCTCAGGGGACTACTATGAACTTGACTGAAATAATGATGAGGCTGAGTGTGAGCCCTTGGGAGGAACTAGAGAACCACTCTGTGAGTACAGTATCCACTGACTGTCATTAACAGCAGAATTGATGTTTGTCTTGGGATTTCATTAAGGTTAAATACACATACATGGCAAATTCGTCTGTGTCATCCAAACACCAGACTCAATGTTGTGAAGATGGTGACTATGTCATACTCATTTTTACAATTGTCCCTTCCTCTCATTGCCTGAGCAAATGACAAAAGCCACAGTGGTTCCTCTTTGGGTGGCAATCCCATTAGTTCACGGGTTTGGATTACCACACCAGAGCACAAACAGGTGCCAAGCTCTCCAAGTACCATGAGTTAACCTAGATAACATGGAGACAGTTTAAGATCTTTACAAATCCATCTCCCTCGAGAAAGCAAATACAAAATGCTGAGATTTGATTTTAGTACGTCAGTATGATTCTTTTAGTTTTTTAACTGCAAAGTGGAACATATTATAGAATTTTAAGTATTGCTTACAATTAGGAAGTGATTATAGCAAAGTATACCAGAAGCATATTTTAAGAAGTGATAATCAGGCTGGAGATATGGCTCTGTAGTTAAGAGCACCGGCTGCTCTTGCAGGGAACCTGGGTTTATTTCCCAGAACAAATAATAGGTACACCCATCTCCAGGAGATCCAACACCCTTGTGTAGCCTCCCAGGGCACCTGCACACATATGGTGCACATACATATAAACATTTCCTCACATATACACACAAACAAAAAATACATCAATTATTAAAAAGTAATTATCTTGAGTGAAGTAAAGGGGACATTTTCTATTTTTCAGATAAGAGTATCCAGGGCTAGTAATTGGAATTGCATTGCTATGCTCTGTCCGCATCAATGTCATGGCTGGTTGTGTATTATGTGAGCTGATGTCTCCTGTGAAACATTCTCAATGCTGCTTCCTTTGCACTCTGAAGCTGGCAATCTTTTGTTGAACTGCAGGTAATCATGTATTGTGTTCCTACATTTTATGTCTGTCATCTTCACTGCTGAACAGTGTCTATTCAGCAAATCAAATGTCTTAGTCGGGGTTTCTATTGCTTCGAAGAAACACTGACCAAAAAGCAAGCTGGGGAGGCAAGAGTCTCTTCGGCTCACATTTCCACATTCCTGATCATCACTGAAGGAAACCAGGGCAGGAACTTGGAGACAGGAACTGATGCAGAGGCCAAGGAGGAGTCCTGCTTACTGGCTTGCTAGCCTGTTTTCTTATAGAATCCAGGACCATCAGCCCAGGGATGGCACAGCCCACCATGGGCTGGACCCTCCACCTCAGTTACTAATTTAAAAAAATGCCCAACAGGCTTGCCTACAGCCCGATCTCCTAGAGGCAATTTTTCAATTGAGTCTCCCTCCTCTCAGATGACTCTAGCTTGTGTCAAGTTGAGATGGAACTAGCCAGAACACCAACACAAGTGAACAGTCAAGTAGTTAAAGAAAAGCATAAAACATGTACACATGAAACCAGATTTCTCAAGCACATAGCCATTGGAAGGTCTACTCACAAATTAAACACACATCTGACATCTGTATGACAGAATGTGTGATATAATCAGCTTTGAAAAAATCTAATGTAAATATGCTTACTACCTGACCACAAACTATTGGTTTGATGCCCGCCCCCCCCTCCGCCTGTCAAAGGACAAAACTGCCCTCAAATACTAGAAATTCATTAAAATATTTAGAATTTGTGTGAAGCAAACTATGAACAAAATAACAACACTGACGGGGAGAAAACATAAACAAACACCATCCTCACAGGAAGGAGGGGGAGCCGATATATTAAGGGTTTGACGCTGTCATAGTCATATATAATTTAGTCATTGAGCTTTAACAATCCCGGTAGGATGTCTCCTGTAATTTGACAGGATCTCTAAACCAGGAATTTAAAAATGGAAGTGGCACTACATCACATGATGGTGCTGCCATAATTGCCCTTTCACCCGATTCCTATTTTGTGGGTCCATTGCCCACTGAAATAAGAAGCATACAAAGTATTTAAGCAAGTTTTCAATTGTCAATTATGAAAAAAACTCAATATCCAACAGAGGGGACGAATTCAAAGAATCATGATTCCCTCTCACTATTAAATACTATGTGGTAATAAGGACGGGCTGCCTGTTCTGAATCTGAAAAACTCTAAAATTCTCAAAATTGCAACTTTTTTTGAGCACTCACGTGATTCCATAACTCACATGGTTCAATACACACAAATTTGGTTCATGTATAAAATTATTAAAATACTGCATGAAATTAACCCCCATTGTATATATAAGGTCTATATGAAGTGCAAATAAAGTTTGAATTAGGCTAGGATTCTATCTCTGAGAAATATCATCATGTATATGCTAATATTCCACAAAAATCCCAAATCCAAAGCATTTTAAGATTTGTTTTGATTAATGTGTATGCCATATGTGTGTAGGCTCTTGTAGAGGCCAGAAGAGGGCATTAGACACCCTGCAGCTGGAGTTAATAAGTAGTTGTGAATGGTTCAATGTCAGTTGTTTTGGAGGGAGGGCAGCAACCCT